GATCCGCTGTGTCGGTGACAATTGAGAGTCCCTGCTTAAGCTTGAATAAATGACCCTCGTGTGCTTATATCGGAAACGGCCTCCTGGTGGTCTTTGGGACTTTATCTGGGCACGACACTCTCACCTGTGGACATCAGACTCCAACTTCTTTAGCCTTCAATGCAGACTCACACCAGTGATCCTCCAGGGAGCTTCCAGGCCTTTGACTTTGGCCTGGGCTGCATTCTTATCCCTTTTGTTCTGCAGTTTCTACCTTCTTGCACTGAGCTGGATCCTCGGGCTCTCCCGCATGCAGAGAGCCAATGTGAACTACCCCACCCCTGATCCTGTAAGTCTCTCTGGTCATTTAAAAAATTGATTCTGTTCCTCTAGAGAACCCTAACCAATACAAGTAGGTAGGAATTGTTTTTTGGGGGAAGGAGCTTACACAAAATGAAACAATAGGTCACCTCTTTGGCAGACAGGTACCACAAAGGTTGAATGCTTCTTACTAACAACATTATCGTTATTTCTTGCTTGGAGTGGAAGCCTCACCATCCAAAGGAACCATTTGCAGATAACCACTGTGGGAAGGTTGAGCTGTCACTGTCCCCTCCTGGCAGCATGCCAACAATGACAGCTGGCTGACCCTTTGAAAGACATGGGGAAAACCTGGCCATAAGAAAATGATATACAAAGGACAGAGAACATGGTCCCCACCATTTCTAGAAGACCAAAGGTGTCATGAAAGCACTTCCAGAGCAAGGGGGCCCTGAAGAAAGTGGAGAACTGGGCCAGATATGAATACCAAAGGTTGGGGCCGGGGATTTAGCTCAGTGGTTCTGCGGCCTGCCTCGCAAGCGCAAGGACCCGAGTTCAATTCCCAGTACCAAAAACAAAACAAAAAACAAACCAAAAAACCCCTTTCATGAATACCAAAGGCTTGTTTTTTCCTAGACCTGCTCCATTTACCTGCTTGGTGTGTACATAGGCACAGGGGAGGGTGTCAACCTCATGTTAACATTGACCTTTAGGTTTAAAGATGGTAATGACACCTATGGATACTTATCACAGAACCTATGTATATTTTTCATTTTTGCTAGTGAAAGACTAACTCAGGTATTCTTTTCAAAGCAAATGTATCACCACATTACATTCTCATGCAAGACTTTACGGCACATGAAATATTTCATGCAGCAAAAGAAATAAAGTTCAGAGTATGCTGAAATGATACAAAATGGGAAAAGGGGAAAGCAGGGTGAACATAAAAGGATTGAAGAGAAAAATAAACCCTTAAAACAAAAAGGTGGCTTCAGCATATTGACATGATCTGACATCAGCATATCTGCTAGAACTCCCATTGTTTCATATAGATCTGGGAGAATTTAAAATAAAAAAGAAAGTGCATGAAGCATTCTCGATGCACATCTTACCTAGGAATGCTGCCATGTTCATGACCTGACTGAACACACAGCTGGCAGGAGGATCGTCACCTGCAATGCTTAAAAGGTGAAATGTTTCGTAATTACTATATGAAAACAGAGTAGCCTTTCCCAAGGCCCACCAGAGCAGGCAAGGATTATCAGGTTACCTTATATAAGGTGCACGCTTCACACCAGGTTTCCTGGATAATAAAAAGCACAGGGGTGCATGTTAAAGTGCGGTTACATGTGCAGTTTAACCTTGCCAATGACAATGTTTTTGCCAAATCTATGTGTGAACAGTGGATTCCCCAGAGATCAACTTTACCTTTCAGCTGAATTTAATGGCAAAATTTTGTCATCTTCCACAGCTATGAAGTATCTATCAAGAAACAATGATAAGTTTATAAGACAAAGCAATTTAAAAACAAAACAAAACAAAAACAACTCCAAGAAGCATTTGTTTCCCAGTTCAATTAGCCTAACTGCACTGTCATACTCATTCTTTTCTGAGAAAATACTCTAATTCTTTACCCATAGATCACCTAGTTTTTTGAAGCTCAAATGTCACTATTAATATATCCTTTATTTTCAAAAAACTCCCCCAATTAATGATAATGATTATAATCTGGAAGTTGGAAAGCAAAGAAATAAAACCTTATGACTTTGAACAAACTAAAATTATAATTCAGAGTTTCTAATTTCTCAGGAATATATGTCCACCACTCTTAATGAACTTCAAGGGAGTAAAATAATTTCCTTAAAATGAGTATTGCTTGAAGTAAGCAAATGTGTGAACATTTTTGTGGTAAAGGACTTCCAACATAATGATTTTCACTTTAAAAATATATCAGATCTTGTCACAAATAACTGGACTTCAGAAGCTGGAGTGGGAATGGAATATACAGCATGTCAGTGTCAGATAAGAACATCTTGCAAATAATGAATTCATCTAACCAGCTGACAAAATGTTCATAAAATAAAAGCAGTATTCTTCATTACCTGCTTTGCTTAATTTATTAGTCTTGCTATTTGCTTTGAATGATAAAAGACAAGAATTGAAATGGGAACTTCAGCAAGGTTGAATTAGTAGATATATTAAAATATTTATATATGCATTCATATAGATGTGCTTTATAAGTACTATCAAAATTCTGTTATCTGCATTGCACCTGAAGTGTGAAATCATTAATTAAGAGCGTGCTCACACTATCCACAGTCCAGCCGAAGTGAACAAAGTGAATACAAGAGGTAGAAACATCCAGATGCTGCATTTCTTCCCATCCATGCCTGCACTGCTGAAATGAAATAAACAGGCATTAATAATTAAGACCAAAGTCTACCTACCTCTTTCAAGATGGGGAAGAAGTCCAACTGGGAAAAAAATGTATTTTATGAAACCATGATTCAAATCAGTGTTGTCATTGCCACCTGCTCAGGTGGGAAATCCCTTGGGCCTGGGCAGTTAAGGTATTGTTATCTAGCATTAGTTTAAAGATTCCAGTCTTAACTGTGATCTGCTGGGAAATTTCTTATAAAAATTTTTATCCTTCTAAATTCATCAAAACATTTAAGAAAGAACAGTGGGGCTTGGGCTAGGACTTTCAGGAGAAGAGCTAGGTACCAAGGTCTACTCCAACCTACTTTTAGCACTATTCTTAACATTTATGGATTTGTGGCTCGGAGATATACATCATCTACAGGCTGGCAGAAAGACTGTCAGAAAGAAATGGTTACTCAGTAAATTAGCAATATAGAGGGCAATGACAAATGCTTTGCAAACCTCAACTTTGAGCAGCTATCTCTGTAGAGTCTAAAGATGAATGCTCTGGGAAACTGCATTAAATCAGCTGCAGTACACACACTGGAAAAAATACAAACATCAGGTATTTTTGCTTATATCTTTTTATTGGTGGTGGTGGTGGTGGTACTAGGGACTGAACCCCATGCCTCCTTTACACTGAGCCACATCCCCAAGATTTTATTTATTTTATTTTGAGTCAGTGTCTCACTGAGTTGCTAAGTTGCCCAGGCTGGGCTTGAACTTGAAATCTTCCTGCCTCAGCCTCCCAAATATTACTATATTTTTAAAGCAAAAAATGTGTCAATTAAAATTTCCTCCAAATGAAATGAAAACTAGAAGCTTCAGATATTAACTATGAAAAATTATTTCTATCAAAATGAAAAGAATTAATTAGCACTTTACATCTCATCCTTGCCTGAAAAATCAGACAAAATCTACTAGATACACTGATGACAACATAATCCTTACAGCAAAAACACAAGGTCTAACAAAATAAAGTACCCAAGTGATTTCCACTGGAGGTCACCGGCCAAGCAGAACAACAATGCAATGAAATGGCATTTCTAGGGAGACTTTGGTGCTCATTATTTTGAATTTTACAACTATCTGCAACAAGTTCATTTACTGGCTTTGAGCCAACACCACCACATTTCTGAGCTCCTCCACGACATCAGCTCCACATGCCCGTGGCCCCCTGGCCCTTCCAAGCGCAGACACCTGCCAGGACCCTGCTGCTGTCCAGAGGCTATGAGCTCCCAGACCCACCCTGCCGTCCTCGATGGAGCCTTCTGATCAGGAGACAGACACTGGGCCTAACCGCATGTCTTTAACAGTCATGCCTTCGTCTAAACACTCTCTGGGCTGGGGTGTCAAACAGATTACAGAATCTAGGAGCTGAAAGACATGACAGGCACTTCCAATCAATTTAATTCAATCTGATAGAATCCAATTCAATTAACAATTATTGATACTTTACTTGTGCCAGGAACTATACAGATAGTGGGAATGCTGAGTTGTGGTCTAATGAATACAACTGTATTTGTGTGTGTGTGTGTGTGTGGTACTGGGGATTGAACTCAGGACCTTGCTGCTTGAGAGGCAGGCGCAGTGCTACTGAGCTAAATCCCCGGCACTTGAATACAACTCTTTACATGCACCAGTCTATGCGATGTACAGATATTCCTCATTTAACAACCTGTTTGGCGATTGTTCAGACTTACCACCGAGGTGGGCTGCTCGGACTTTCGACCTGCATGCAGAACACAGGAACCTGTGTGGCAGTGTAGCCCTATGGTGGCTTCTTCTACTGTGTGTACTGTCATTTTTTGCTGATTGTACTGTACAGTGCTGTAGTTCTATGTTCTGTTACACATTACAGCAGTGCATGTAAGAGTTATGCAAATAAGTGCAAAGTCATCAATTTGGAGTTTCCTTTGACCATTTCTTTGAGCATTGTAATGTACATACTATGGACAATTCCTCATTTAGTGACCAATTCAATTAATGACCTAGTTGCAGAATTGGAACTCGGTGGTTCAACATCTGTATTCAGCAGTCTGGCCTTCTCTGTTCCAAGACTCCCTGTGGATGCCTGAAACCAGACAGCACTGAACCCTACCTATACTATGATTTTTCCTTTATGTATGTACATTTTCACTTAAAGGTATTTTTCCTTATATACAGATATATTTTCACTCAGAGGAAGCTTCCCTTTGGCACATCAGAATTGCATCACTACTCTGGGGCTTTAGATTGTTATTAAGTAAAATAAGGGTTACTTGAAAATTGCACTGTGCTACCTCAACAGCTGCTCCGAGGCCTGAGATGACTACTACGTGAGTTACAGGCAGGTCGTAAATACAGTGTAGACATATCGGACACAGGACGATTCGAATACTGGGCAGGATGGAGCAAGAGGACATGAAATTTCATCACACTATGTGGAACAGCACACAATTCAAGATTTAGGAAATGCTTATTTCTGGAATTTTCCATTTAACATCTTCAGGCCATGGTTCACTGCAGGTAACAGAATCCATGGAAAGAGAACCAGAAGGTAAGGGGTCTGCTGTAAAAGCTTCTGTCTGAACCAGGGGTGCGTGGCTTTGCAGTTATTATAATGTGGAAGAATGTGGACATTTAAACATACACGATATAGCCAGTCTATTCCTTTAGTTATGTCAGAAAAGATGTGGGCTAAGAAAGTGATCAATTACACTGACAGAACAATGGTTTAAGTGGCAACAGAGCAGGTAAACCTATTGTTCTAGATGGGCCACTGAAATTGGTGCTCAGCCAGGATGGGTTTGGCTGAAATAGTCATGCTGGACAGTTAGGAGCTTGAGTCTCTAACCATAGCTTCGCCAGAAACTGCTTCCTTGGGCCTGGGTGAGCTACTCATATCTGTAATGCTATTTCCCTGCCTCTCTGCAAGAAGACTGGTGAATTCAGAGAGAGGCAGAAAGACAGCGAAGATTGAGGCCTCCAAGGGTGTGGAACCTTGGCAGTTAACCTATGGGAAGTGCTTTATATCTTTGCAGTAACAGAAGGCTCCAGCATACTCAGAGTTATCATCCCTAGGGGAAATAGGAATTGTTTTTACATGTGGTGAGGGACAGAACAGAATGCCAATGTGTCAGTGTACAATGAAAAACACAGCTGTCAAATGGACAAATAATCACTTGGCTCCCCTATTAGGACCATCTATGTGGGAACCCAAGATTTGGAAGCAGGAAGTAGAGATGAAGAGTTAATGAGACAGCCCTAAGGCCATGGCAACAAGCTACACTTGTTTCCTGCACTGACTTCCTGTGAAGAAAGATGGCTGGGGAACAGAAATGTCCAGTGCAGCACTGGACTGGCCTCCAACCCTACCACTCCCAAGCTGTGTGATCCTGGGCGAGTCCTTCCCTCTCTAAGCCTTCGTCTAACCACAGAGATAACTCCCATCCTGCAGGATTGTGCTGAGAATGAACAGTGCCATAGGAAAAGCACTGTACTCTTATCCCATGCTCCTAAGCCTGACAACTATGACTACTCAGCAGACCCATTCCTGTGCTTGAACAAGGTCCCAGGCAGGCCAGGTCTCAGGACAACCTAACACTTTTTTCTCTAGGCTTCCGCTTTTCTAGGAAGGTGCAGACACCCTCCTTGATAGCAACAACATTTTTCTTCAAATGGCTTTCCAAAAAAATTAGTATCCTAACATCTTAATATTGAAGGTCCACCTTCCTGAGGTTCTGTTATTTTGCTGTTTGTCATTATGCACTGCTGTCCCCCTGCTTGGTATCAGAGATTGAACCCAGGGCTTTCACACTGGGAAAATCCCATCTCCTTCCTACCACCTTTTTTTCTTTTTAAGACAGAAACTTGCTCAGCTGCCCAGGCTGGTCTCAAATTTGCAATCCTTCTGCCTCAGCCTTGTAGGATTACAGGTGTGCACCACAATGCCCAGCTTGCTCATTTGTTTTGTTCTGGAAGCATCTAAACTGGTCAATGACTACCAAATTGTTTTATTTTTACTAGTTCAACTCTTATAAGGCAACCTAAGTCCAAATTCTTGGAAAACTATACTGTATCCCTTGCCTAATGATAGATGAAAATTGCCCCTTCTTAACTCTCAGAGATGCCCTGGGAAGTAAAAAGAGAGTCTATGAATGAATGAGTTTGCAATGGAACTACACTGGTGATTCTTCAGGGTTTCTTATGTCAGCTATGCTTTTCTTCTTTTTCTTTTGATAATTGTAAATTCACATGCGGTTGTGAGAAACAGCGGAGAGAGAGATCTGGCGTATCTTTTACTGCCTCTTCCTTATGGTAATATCCTGCATGACCACAGTACAGTATCGGAGACCCAGAAACTGGCATTGGTACAATCCACCAACTTTATTCAGATTTTACCAGTTTTATGCACAATCCTTTACTTTGTGTATTTAGTTTTATATAATTTTATCACTTGTGTGGATTTGTGTGACAATATGTTTATTGACCATTTATCTGTCTACTCAAATATTTTGTACATTTTCAAGTTGGGTTGTTGTTGTTGAGTTGTAGTTCTTTATATATTCTGGATATTAATCCCTGATCAAATATGAGATTTACAAAGTTTTCTCCCATTGTGTAAATTACATTTTGTGTAAATTACATCTACTGGTACTGTCATTTGATGCACAGAAGTTTTTAATTTTGATGAAGTCCAATTCATTGATTTCTTTTGTTGCCTGTTTTGGTGTCCTAGCCAAGAAATCTCTTCCAAGTCCAGTGCTATCAGGCTTTTTCTTTTGTTTCCTTCTAAGAGTTTTAAAGCTTTCATTCTTCCCACTTAGGGTTTAAGTCTAAGTTTTGTATATGGTTCATTGTATTGTACGTAAAGATCCAGAACCGTTTATCTAAAGACTGTCTTTCTCCATTGAATGGACTTGGCATTTAACAGGGTGTTTTGCAAATCAAACATTTTTACTTTTGAAAAGTGCTAACTTGCCAAATTTCCCT